TACCACAGAAGCAAAGAATAAGAAGCAAAATAAATAAATTCAATAAATACAAAGTTTGCTAAAGCCAGAGAGCTTAGTATCTTCTCTAGTTCCTTCCTTTCTCTTGGAGTTATGAGCACATCTTCTCAGTTCGGCCTTAGAACTCGACCATTTCTTATCCCAGTCCTTCTGCAACCACCTGCCTCACCTGTAGTCTCCTAATTTTCTCCTTGTTTCTTTCATTGTCCCTATAGTTCACTCTGCTATGCTGGCCTCCTTGAGGTCCCTTCACATACCAGGCACACTTCTCGACTCAGAGCCTCTGAACTGGCTGTTCTTTGCCCCTAAACTTCTAGTTATCCACTGCCACCTCACCTTGTTGACTTCCTTGTGGCATGACTGCTTCAGGGTACTCAGCTTTCTTATATGAAGTTCAGACTGCAGTACCTTTTGCTACTCAGTTTTCCAAGTCTCAGGGTGCCACATCCACCATTCTATGTTGATATGACTAGTTACTAGCTGCAAAGACCCAAGGCTAGAAAGTTAAGACTCTTCCTCTTGATGAGGGAGAAGGACATACTGTAGAAGAAATTATGGGATAAGACAATTTGTGACTATCTTTGGAAAAATACAAAGTTCACTGACACATTTCACTCTGTTCCACTTTTCTATTCCACTTTTAATACTAAATTTCTATTCCATATATCATTTCTATGTAACAAATGATCACTACTTGATTTTGCTCATGATTTTGTACCTCAGGAATACAGGAAGGGCTCAGCAGGGCAGTTTTCACCCAGCGTACTCACATACTGTAATCAGATATCACCTAAAGCTATGGCTTGTCTGGGCAGATATCTAAGATGGCACAAACATGTGGCTGGTAAATGACACCAGTGTCAGCTAGAGCTCCACTAGCTGTATATATGTACGTTTGAATAAACGGTTCTCAGGGACTCAAACTTCTTACACATCATCTGGATCCCACAGAGAAAAATTACAAAGAAACTAGAAACTTCACAGTTCCAACCTAGCCTCAGAAGTTAATCATCACTTCTCTTGCAATTCATAGAATACAAGCACTTCATAAAGTCAGCCAAATTGGGGGGGAGGAGACACTTCTGGATGACAGTGCTGTGACACTCTGTGAACACGTTCTAAAGTTGACGTTCATTCTCACCTTTGATTCTGCCAAAATATCACCTTCTGAGCCAGGCATGGTGGTGCACGCCTTTAATCGCAGCACTCGGGAGGCAGAGGCAAGCGGATCTCTGTGACTTCAAGGCCAACCTGGTCTACATAGTGAGTTCCAAGACACCTGGGGCTACAGGGAGACCCTGTCTCAAAAAGACCAAAAAAAAAAAAAATATATATATATATATATATATATCACCTTCTAAGAGATACTTTCCCTCCAACCCTTTGGTCCTAGCCCTGCATTTTCTTTTCTCTGTGCTCTTTTTTCCACCATAGTTGGTGTAACGTTCTAATTTATCACCCAATTTACTTCTTTTTTACATTTGTTGTCTGTCTCCTCTTCTGGAATATAAATTCTATGAGAACAGGGAATTTTGTCTATTTTGTCCATTGCTGAAAGCAAGTAATCTAAGCCAGGAACTTGCTTTATCTGGCCTGCTGTATGTCTTCATAAGCAGAGCTGTATAATGCCCATTCATTATATATTGCCCATGGTTACTCGCACCATAAGGAACTATACAGTTGCAACTGAGAGGATGTGATTCATGAAAGTACAAAGCATTTACTGTCTGGGCCTTTACAGAAAAGTTATCAAACCCTGATCTAGAACAATTCCCAGAACAAGAAGTGCTCAATGACTATTTGTTGATATTCTGTTTTGAGGCAGGATCCCACGATTATATTGTCTAGAAATGTCATAACAAACTTATTTTGTACAAGTGCCTTCCAAGCTGTCCTCCAACTTGCTGAATAGCCAAGGATGGTATTTAACATTCAATCCCTCCGCTCAATGGGGATAATTATGTGTCATGAGATTAATGTAGGGAGACAACTAAACCATGTGTGGAACACACTTATGTAATGCCCTTGGAGAATGGGAACAACTGAAGGCCTCTGCCCTTACCAAGGTCATAGGCAAAGCCAGCTTCCTAGGGAGCACAGATTCCGCTCCTGCTACTTTTCTTACTTTTTTTTTTAATAGGTTTTTTATAAACTGAATTTATTCATTGTTAAAAACAATTCCTTGTTTTGGTTTGTGTCCTTTATAATTTAGGTAGATCATATACATAGGCCCATTTCTTTAATGAAATGGTAGTCAGAGGAAATGATGGTTGTTAAAAATGATTTTTTTTTTCTTTTTGGTCTTTTTGAGACAGGGTCTCCCTATAGCCCCAGCTGTCCTAGAACTCACTATGTAGACAAGGCTGGCCTTGAACTCACAGAGATCTGCCTGCCTCTGCCTTCTAGGTGCTGGGATCAAAGGTGTTTGCCACCATGCCCGGCATTAAAAATGATTTTTAACAAAATTAAAAATTATTAACCTGGTACTTCTAACCACATCCCAGCACCCCCCACCCCCCATATAAATTTTTTTGTTTGAAATATTGATAGTCTATGAAATCCAGAAGTTTGGGGAACAGTTCTAATAATCTACAAGGTCTTCTTAGGATCCTGGGGCCACTTTTGAGATGGTGGGTAGAAGTCATCTCCAAATGTGCTAAGTACTTGGGAGGCTCAGGCAGGAGGATTATCACAAGTCAGAGGCCAGAGTCTAGGCTACAGAGCAGTACTTTTCTTACTATTAACCAGGCTGTAAGGACAAAGAGATGTGGGGTTTGTTGATTCAGAATCTCACCTCCTTATCTCATATGAATTCAGACAGGACACAAGAACATGTGGGGTTTCCCTGGCATAAAAGTTATAGTGTGAAATACTCAGTTTTGTCTGAGCTAAACTACCTGAATAGTTGTGATTTTGTGAACTTCCTTTCATGTACCTGATAATGTGCTGGGTAGACAGAAGACTCACCCCTCAAGAGCCCCCAACTCAACTCTAGCTTCTAGCACTGTCTACTACTCACTCACTAGCCTGGCGAACTTGGACAAGTCCTTCACCCCTTTTGCGTTTCAATCTCCTTATCTTTAAAATACAGAGATGAATGTTACCTATATCATAGCATTATGGTGAGTTTTAAACAGAATGCTACATAGTTTTTTGGTTAGGATGTGGCATATCATGGGTTCTTGATATATACAAGTGATCTGCACAACAATATTTTGCTAACTGCTGAACCACATATATGACACTGGTCCCTTAAGATTGTATCATCTCCTGACATCATAGCCATCTTAATTTGTGTACCTACACTCAGAGTTGCTTAACTATGCAATTCTCAGAATGTATCACTGCCGTTAAATAACACTTGGCAGGGCAAGGTGTGCCTTCCTCTTTGTAAACTCCTTTTGGGCCTAAGTTACAAACAAGGGTGTTTGAAATCTCTGTCATCCTTAACATTGCCAAAAGTTGGTCAGACTGTAGTTAGAGCAATAGTCCACTATGTTGATAATTCTTCATGTCCCTTTGTCATCCCCTCCAACCTCTTTTTCTTGCTTCCATTTGTTAACAGGTAAGGAAATCACTTTCTAGAAGCCTCCATTTTACTCCCATCCACAAACTGACAATACCATCAAGTTCATGTGCTGTCTCCTGTACATCTGTTATTGGAAAATCAGAGATCAGCAGCCAAAGTCTGGTGAGGAAAGGGATTTAATTTTATGCTAGTGGACTGACCACAGATCCTTCGGTAAAGGAGCCAGTACCCCCCTCCAGTTTTAGGGGGTTTTATATTCATGTGAGGAAGCACAAGTAAAAGTACAGTACATAGGTGGTAATTAAGTAAAAGGTACATGTGATAATTAAGCAAGGTAACTGTATGGCTGCAGGGGTTACAAAAACTTCCTTCCAGGACTCCAGTTTATCTCCCCAGTCTTATCTCTTGCCTAGGAGCTCTTCCTGATCCAAAGTTCTTAATTACCATTTCCAGTACACATCTAATATAAAAATGACAAATGGGGTGCCACACCCTAAAGTTAACTAAAAACCTATTTCTCATCCTGTTCAATTAATCCACCCTGAAAACCTGTAATGCTGAGGCCTGCCTGATGCCACTAGCTAGCTAAAGTCCTGTGAGGCAGATAAGCACATCTAGCTCAAATGGTGAGAACTAAGGTCGAGGGGTGGCCAGGCAGAGCCGAGGAAGAGAAAGAACCCAGTCACAGGCTGACATTTCTATGTACTACCCTCTTTCTCACCTCACCGGTACTGCTCACAGAATGCACTGTTCTAGCTTGTCAGGCTTCAGAGTGTTTTGCAGTATAAAACTTACAAGCAGAAATGCACTGAGGAAGTTAAGCATGGTAGGTAGTTCATTAACACACCGTTTCAAGTATTGATTTTATTTTAGAAATACACTTTAAAATTTTTATTTTTACATTATGAATGTTTTACCTGCATGTAAGTACACATTTCGTGCAATGCCGCAGAAGAAGGAGTCTGATTCCATGGAATTTGTTAGTTGCTGTTCGCCACCTGGATATTGGGAATCGAACCTGGGTCCTCTGCAAGGACAGCCAGTGCCCTTAACCACTGGGTCACCTCTACAACCCCGCAGTACTGATTTTACGTGTTTATTATGTTAATAAGGGGGGGATCAAAAACTGAGAACTTAGGTCCTGAAATACATTTTTAAATTTTAGCTCAATAAATAAAAATAACACAAAAACATTAATGAGCTATTTTACATTCTCTTTTCGGGCTTTAGAATCAGGTACAGCTCATGTATAGTTCAAATCCAGTAACATCACAACTGCACAACCACATTGGAACTCGCGCTGGGCACTCCATTACTGGCAGTCGACTTCCGCCGCCTCCGTTGGGCTCCCAAAACTAGTCGAGACTTCCGGGTAAGGCCACCTTCAGGCCCAGCACTGCGCAGTCCGCCACCGGTCGGTAGCGCGCCCATGGGAGTTGTAGGCTTCGGTCTCATGGAGCATGCTGGGAGTCGTAGTCCAGGCGCGCTCGCGATGGCTATGTGCGTCATGGCCGACGGCACCGCGCTCGGGAACTCTTCCGCTCGGCCCCAGAAAGTTTCAGTTCTGTCCGGCGGTGGACCCACGAGCGTGTAAGTGCCGCGGGCGACCGGCGGGACTTCGGGAACACTGGGTCCGCTCTGGATCCCGGCGAGGAGAGGCTCCCCGGGGCGCGGCTGGTCACCTGTTGCCGCGGCCGTCCCCGCCCACTCGGGGCCCCGCGGGCGGTGTAGACTTTGACCGACTGGGCTGAACCTGGGCCCAGGCTGCCTGTGGGGTCGGCTAGAAAGACCTCAAACACTGTTTCCGGTGGGCAGAGGGTCCATCCTGTGGAACCTCCGGTTGGCCCCGCCCAGTGAGGCTACCCTGTGGGGCCTCCCTCTGGAGCCTCGGCCGGACCTCGGGACACCCTGGCGCCCGAGCCTTAAAGCCCTAGAGTTCCAGCTGGCCTAGCCGCGGCCGGACTTCGGACGCCCAGGTGTAGTCCCTTCTCCTAGGAGGGACAGTTTGTCCTAGCAGTGTCCTCGGATCTTGACCCACTGCTCTTGTGCCCAAATGCAAGGGTCTCAAGGTAGTGCCTAGGTGATGTTTCTGAAAAACACCCGTTGGACAGTTTAGAAAGTATCTGGTGTGGTAGCCCTAGGCCGTGTAGAGCCCATTGCCGTTGGATCCCAGGCCGGGGGTGGAGGGGCGACATCGTATTTTTATATAAGAGCACAAGTGGTTAACACTTCACCCACCCACATGTTAATGCACTGTCTGTTAATGCACCCTTGAGTCCCCTTGTCACTCTTCACTGTTCCACTGCTGTCTCCTCCAGAAAAACAGCCCTGTTGACACTGCCTGTGTGGGTTAGCCTCTTGTCTGCTTATCTGACTTAAAAACCACAGCAGTTTCCTTTCCTGACAGAAAAATGGGTCAGGGGCTTTTATGAGCAGAGGATCAGGGCTTAATCTACTCACAGCCTCCCTCAGCTGTGGGCCTTGTGATCAGGGGCAAGGTTAAGGTCTCTGCCATCTATCTGCCTGATGATATTGGATGGGGGGAGGGGTGTCAAACGACAGGTTTCTGCTTTCTGTGTTGCAACCTTCTGAAGTGTGAGGGTGTTGAGCAGCTGCCCCTGACCAGTTCCTGCTGTGTTGAATGCCCTGTACCAGCTGTGGACCAGGATTTTCCTGGAAATCAGCATAGTGTTGACTCTCAGCCTTCCTTTCACTAGAAGGACCTGAAAAGGCTGTTGCTATAGGAAACAAGGTTTATCTGCTACTGTGCACCACTTCATTTTTTAAATTGTTTTCTATGTTTTTAAAAATTTTTTTTTATTTATTATTTTTATGTGTATGAGTGTATTGCCTGCATGTATGTGAGTGCACCCATGTCATGCAATGCCACAGAGGTCAGAAGAGGCCTTCTGATGCCCCTGGAACTGGAGTTAAGGACTTTTTGCAGCCACCATGTGGGTAATGGGATTCGAACCCAGGTCCTCTGCAAGAGCAATCAGTGCTCTTAGCCACTAAGCCACCTCTCCAGCCCCATGTTTTCTGTGTTTTACTAAGAAAATAGGTAGAGGCTGGAGAGATGGCTCAGCAGTTAAAACACTACCTGCTCTTGCAAAGGACCCAGGTTCGATTCCCAGCACCCACATGGCAGCTAACAACCATCTGTAACTCCAGTTCCAGGGGATCTGACGCCCTCTTATGACCTCCATGGGCATTGCATGACACGAGTGCACTTACACACATGCAGGCAATATACTCATACACGTAAAAAAGTAATAAATATCATGTAGACAGATGACTGAAAAGAAAATCTCTACTACAGGCTTTTGTTTTGTTTTGTTTTGTTTTGTTTTGTTTTGTTTTGTTTTGTTCTATTGACAAATGAAGCGACAGGGTCTCTCAGTAACCCCAGCAGGCCTGGAACTCACCATGTAGAACCAGGCTGGCCTCCTGCCACTGTCTCCTAAGTGGGATTAAAGGCATGCACTACCATGCCTGGTATCTGCTATAGGCTTTTGATGACGTTATTAGCTTTTGGGTTGGTGGAAGCTAGTGGTTTGTTAATATATTTTGAAAGTTTTAGGTGACAGTTATAAGGATGCTGGATGAAACAGAGAGAGGTAGTCAATGAGTGTGTGTTAAAGGAACTAAATAGATAATAAAAGATAATCTGGCTCTAGATCTGGGAAATTTCAACTCTCCACACTCATCAAGTTCTAATTAGTCAATCATCCTTGTATGATCTTTAACCTATATTTTCTTTTTTTTTTTTGTTGGGGGGGGGGTCGGTTCACATTTTCATACCAAATATTACATACATACTTTTATATTCCTTTTCTTAAGACTCCTCTTTTAAATTGTATAAACTTCAGGACACACAAAACCTGGACTTGCATATATGCCTGAAAATAAATGTCAGTACAATTGGGAAAAAAGTAATAAATATTTTTAAAAGAAAATAAAGTATACAGAATCTTTGAAAGAAGTATACAGGGCCATCCATATACTCATACTATTTTACTTGACTCTTACAGTTGCTTTAGAACTTAGCAGTGGCCTCAGGCAGTGATCCTTCACCTGTACCTTTGCCCCTTAAGGTTGAGTTTGGGATACCAGGATGGTTAAAAGCCAAGTTTTTAGCCTGGTTCTTTGGGGTAGGATAAGAGGCACCACTTGTAACAGCAAGATTATAGGTAACATCTGGTGGCTTTGACCTAGTGTCAAAGGACCTGGTGTTGGTCCTTGAGGCTGTGTCCTGGGCTAGAAAAAACATTGACTAGACATGGTCTCATGGTGGAAACCACAGGTAGGACTCACAGGTGCCACATTCACTGAAGAAGCCCCAAGCAGCAGTAAGGGCGGTAACGGGGCTGTGTAACCTCTTAGGTACCTGTGAAAAGAGGCAAAGTGTCTGTGGTCATGTTGACATCAGATCACCTAGGCAGCTTCTATGTTCCTACTTCAAATAGCATTTAAGCAGCTAAAAAGTTAGTAGGGTAGAAATCGGGATATTTCTATGGGTCCACCTGTGGAGAAACACTGCCTACCTTCTTGGGTTTTGTTGTTTTGTTTTCTCTTTTTCTGAGACAGGGTCTCTCTGTAGTCCCAGCTGGCCTGGAACTCGCTATGTGAACCGGGCTGGCCTCAATCTCACAGAGATCCACCTGCATCCGTTTCGGGAGTGCTGGGACTAAAGGCATGCACCACTATGCCTGGCTTTTTGGGTTTTTTTGTTTTTGTTTTTGTTTTTTGTTTTTTGTTTTGATGAATCACTGGAAATGGTTGAAATGTCTGTACCATCCTGGGAGCAAACAGATTCCATCTATGTTCATTTCGGAACAAGGACCATATCTCTCACACACCAGTGCCCCCATTCTTCCATACTAGAGCTGCTTATTTAGCCTGATGGTTTCAGTGGCCACCAATGGTCTTTTTTGTTGGCATGACTCTCTGGCATTTCAACAGCACCAGGGCTCCATTTCCATTTGGTCCAGGCCCCAGTGGCAGGGTCTGTACATACATTGTGGTTCTGAGGAAAGATGTAAGGAAAACCTGTGGTTTGGTTTTCCTGCTGTGCTCTGGTGACTGGTTTCAGGGCCTACTGAACTACTTCAGTAGCCTGAGGTACTGCACCTTCTCCTGAGGCAGGACATCAAGTTAGGAGATTTCTTAGCATTCAAAAGCCTTGAACCCCAAAGAGCAGTCAAGCAAAGCCTCAATAAGCATAAAGCTAGACCAAGAATCCCGAGATCGATGTGAGGCTGGAGAGCTGAGCCAGAGGCGGTCGAAGCTGGAAGGAAGCTGCGCAAACTACACCTATAGCCCTGGGTGCTTTTTGCAGGGCAGCTGCAGACTTGGTCAGGAACTTGGAAAAAAATACTTTTAAAGCTTAGCCAGAATTAGCCATTGAGAATATCTGTTCTTCCCCTTTCCCACTTAGCCAAGGGCAACTTTTAATCCCCCTATATGAAGGAAGATAATAAAGGTTCACCTCCCCCTCAGTGCAGCTGGGCTGGGGGAACAAGATAGAAAGAGATCTGATGACTTCTGCAGGATAGCTTAATGTTTATTGAGTCTCATCTATCTGTGGCATGATCTTCATGGCATTTGTTGCTTAATAAAGTTCACATAACCAGTCTGATGAAAGTCTGAATAGGGTGCAAATGGACAAAACTCAGCTACCATGAAGGAAAGTATCTTGCTCATTGCCACAGCCCAAGCTTCAGAGCCACTCTGGGTCTTTGTTGTGTGTGTTCCTCCTGTCAAACTTCTCCCCTGGGGCACAGCAGAACCCAGACTCCAGACACCTCCACACCCCAGTTTGCCTGGTCGATGGTGCCAGATTCACAGTTCCAGGAACAAAGGGAGAAGTCCTAGGGAGATGTGTTGTCTGAGAAGCCACCATAAACAAATGTTTAAGCAACAGAAATTTATTTGCCCACAGCTTTGGAGGCTGGAAATCCAAAGTAAAAGTTTGGCTGGTTTTGAGGCCTCTTTGTAAATGGTCACCTTTCACTGTGTCCTCACATAGTCTTTCTCCTGTGTTCATACATCCCTAGTGTTTTGTGTGTTCAGAATTCCCCTTACAAGCACACAAATCAGATTGGATTAGAGCCTAGCCTCATAGCCCCATTTAATCCCAGATACCTCTCTAAAGACCCTGTGTTCAAATACAATCACATTCTGAGATGCGGAGGGTAGGGCTTCAGCCTAAGGCCAGGCAAGGAACATAATGTTGCCCTTAAGAAGAAGGTTGAGTCAGCAGGGGTCGTGGTCAGTGCTGTGGTTATTCTGAATGGGGTGGAGATTTCTGAGGAAGGCTTCCTCAGAGAACAAAGTGGTAAACACTTCTGTCCAAGGTAAGACCAGAAAGACTTGGAGGAGTTGGCCAGGGAAAGGTTTGAGGAACATGAGGCAAAGCTTAAACTTTGTTAAAGGGCAGAGAGTATCCAAACCTGGAGCCAGGGCCTGGGTACTGCAGGGCAGTCTAGGCCAGACACAGGTAAGAAGGGATTAGAGGACAGTCCTGTCATTCGAGAAAATGGTGCTTTGTGTGCCAGGCTAAGGCATGTGGACACAGGTCTGACAGCATC